TTGGCTATACCTTTATTGTTGTAAACTCAACAATATATCACAACAATATTAAAAAAATGTTTTATCCAAATATATAAAAACACACAAGGTGTTTAAAAAGAAAAGAATTTATGGTAGCTCTGTATCTCAGTAACACAGAGGTCAACTTTTTTGCAGATTAAGTACAACCTTTATCAATGACATTTTTCATATCTCCATCAATTTCCGCGTGATATATGCGGTATTGGAAGCTTCTTCAAATGTGCACTTTGAAATCTTAAATCTCACTGTTTGTTAGGTAGTGATTAAGTACCTACCTAAAGACTGTATTTTGAATACAAATAATGGTAAGTATTTTAAGTTTTAATCGTGTTAAATGTCTAATTATTTGTAATTATATATGTTACTTATTCACATTTATAAAAATTCGGTATTTTATTTAATTAATTGTTTTTCTTTTTTGCACCATAATTCACAAATAAAAGTATTTTACTATTACTTTTATGTATTTTTTTTTTGAGACGAAGAATTATCTCAACATGTCAACATGTAAGCTTATAAATTGAATACTTATTAGCAATTTATATATACAAAAATTAACTAAAAAATATCGTTGAACTTGGAATAGTAAAACCTACCAACTTAACAATGTCTTCAAAGTGTCACACCTAAAACTCTGTAGAACTATTTTTAAATCTGTAATTACCCGTAGATAATAATTATTAAGATTTTTTTAAATTTTTCTATATTTTTATTAGCTGGGCATAAATAGAAAACCTAACAAACAGACAAATGTCTTTTCACGGTTTAATACTTCTTAATATTTTAAAAGTAGTTATATTAATAAAGATATTATTTTTACAATTAGAAAAATACAATAGTACAAGGTGATTTATTTGAAAACAACATAAATGAAATGCGCACCACCGACAAGTGTTCATATAAGTACAAAAAGAAATGTAATAAAATAAAAAAACACATAGGTGAGTGATCTTCGTGGATGAACAAATGAAATGGGATATTAGTAAAAATGTTCGCCCACTAGATTCGAGGCAATTGCGATAGAAATCCAAGAAAAGAAAAGCTAAACCAATAAAGTTTTGTTATCGGAACTACTGTAACAATTTACCGCGGAACGGGAGAACCGTGAAATAGGCAGCTTGCAGAAAAAACTATTTTAATAGTTTTCGTAACTACACTGAATACTACAAACAATGTGTAAAGGTTTTGTTATATTAATTTATTTTTAATAAGTTATTAGATATTAAAGTTTTTTCACAAAAGATTTTATAATTAATAATTTTAAATAAGGCCATATTTAAATATGTGAACTAAAATAAAAAATCCAGCAGGTGCAAGAGGCCTATTGTCTGCCGTCTCTCTACCTCGGGTATCGAATGCGGTTAACTCCAAGAAAGTGACAGAGGGGTCTTCTTGGAATTCTATCTTCATAAGTATCGTTCGGACTGTATGTTTGTGACATTACTGATGGTCTGCACTGGGTCTTATTCTGTAGCTTGTGTCGCTTCTGAGGCAGCTATCAATTTTTGAGCAATTTCCGTTCTGGTTGCCATGTCGTTAGTTTAGACTACTTGACTTGAGAGACATATGGTTTCCTTTTTCAGAAGACACTCAGAAACTGGAGATTTAGTTCTCTGGTTGGTATTTATAAAGGGTATTTACAAACCTGGTGCGGATATTTGAAGAGTAAATAAGTCGAAGTGTGAAAAATATACAGGGTGTTAGTAGTTTCATTGCTTTAATTTTAACAGACGATAGAATACATTAAAATAAATAAAAGACTTTACCACACGGTCGATAGCCGCACGGTTTAAGGCGTCAGTACTTAAATCGATGTGTCGATCTGCCCGGGTTTCGAATCCCGCGGCCGGTAGACCGCAGATTAGCTATACTTGTACGGAGGATTGACACCCTCTGTGCAGGTATGGTAGGGTGGAAGCATGTTGGCTTGGGTCAATGTGAGAGATTGACACCGGTTGGCATTTGACCACCCCCCTAATTAATGAGGTTTTCCAGGTTTCCCTCATTCCTGCACTGAATGGTGGTTAGGGCCTACCTACATAAGTCGTTCCTGGGTGCAAATGCGGCCTGCGTAATAATAATATGCCGCCTCCTCTCCCGCAATTAACACGAGATACTAAGGTGTCCAACAACCAACAGTACGCAATTCAGTTGGTATCTGAAACTTGACAGTCGAAGACTTGCGAGAACGAATTTTTGTCGCTGTCCATCAAATAATTTTCCAGCCAGTGCATGAAAATTGGATTCGAAGGTATCGTGCATGCATCGAAAATGGTGGTGGACATTTTGGGCATACTTTGTTTTGTACTTGTGCATTTAAAAATTACTGAATTTTGCTTTTTGATAAGTACCTAAATTATTTTTAATACATGTGATCATTTGGACGACGTGAACCTTTGGGTACTTTAATTACATATTTTTCAAATTCATAATTTGATTAAAAGTTCCTGTTTTAAGAGATTCATAATTACTAAAATTCGAGCTAAAATTTAAACACACAACACTATCTGTGTACTGCAAAATCGATACATTTTATTTTATTTATTAAAAACTGGAAAACAATTGTCTTGAAATTTATTAAATGCTTCACAACAATAATTGTTTACATTTTTGTTATTCCGTAGGTCAAAACTGCCGCGTGCACACGTGGTGTGCATCAGCTGTGTAACATTAGATTAAGCGCTGTTGTCACATTGTGATAAAACTCCCTAATATTAGTACTCGCTGTGTTTTGAAAACTGTTAATCTAACGCCCCTGTAATATACAACTTTTTTGTTCATTTATGATTACCCTATCTCATGCTGAAGTAATGGCAGTAAAACTTCTTATACCCTGTATATAATATGTTTTTATTTTAATATCTACTGACTTATCATATTGATACGATGAAAACTTTTATGAAACCGTTGACTGCGCTGAAAGCTTTACCTCTGCTTGCAAGTTTGGGGGAATGCTTATTTAAAAATCGTTGTACACACATATGTGCAGTTAAAACGCAGTTTCCATCAAAACTTCCATATGTCCATTGTTGTAATATTGATGTGTCATTTTAGTATGTTTTTTTGTTTATTTTTACTTTTTAATACAAACAACCACAGAAATATTGTACCCTCATTAAAATAAAATACAGTTATAAGTATAAATGTAAAAAAAATAAATGACTGAACATTTAAACATTTGTGCATTAATAATTTTCACAACAAAAGACACGTTTCGGTAATGAAAACCATAATAAGATTTATGCTCAGACAGAACAAGTAAATTTTCTGTTTACTGCAAGAAACGGCAAAAAAGTGGGCACAACTATTTATTTCTTTTTCTTGTAACTTGTAAGTTTGAGATGATTCCAGAGCACCGTTTTTTCAAAGATTTTGATGAAAACCCTGTATTGGTTGTGTGCGCTGATCCATGATATGCCGGTGTTTGGCTTGCAATCGTTGGTCTGTCGTCTTGTCCTTTATTTTTGCAGTCGTTTCCATATTCCAGGTATTGCTGCACTTATATTTTTCTGTACAGCGCCGTATATAATAATGTTATATAATGTTATAATGTTACTGATGTTACTAATGTTGATGAGTAAATGTTGCCATTGTTACACATTAGCATCACAATTTTATCGAATACGTTCGTATTTGTTCGATTCATTAAACTAAATTAACTGCAAAATAAATGAGAATGTTAAGGAAGTACACTTAATGAGTGGTTGTATGATCATGAACTGTCTATTGAATAGTGCTTCACAGGAGTTAGGAATTCAGACATAACAAATGAAACTAATGAGTACGGTCTACCCTGAATTTATTTTATGGTGGAGTAATCTATCTTTACAATATTGATGAGTTTTAATAAATCACCCTGTAGTATTCTGATATATAATTAGCATAATTCCAGTTTTCAAAAATACCTAAAGGTACCAAAGCATCTGTTTTTATTTCTGCATATGTCACTATTATTCAAAAGTATATCAATTTCAACATTCTAAAATATTTGCAATTTCTATTTTATCTTTTTAGTAAATTAAACAGAGGTAAAAAATAAATAAATAAAAAGAGGACATAAGACAAATTCTCCATTGATTTAATGTTTTACTATTTCACTAATTACAAACTTTTCTGGATTGAAGAAATTCGATGATACAGTTAATGAGAAGTCCTAAGAAATTTTACATGAGACACCTTGTTCGTGCTCAAACCCAGAAAAGATTTGTTCACGGTTCAAAGTGATTTAAAATCTAACACATAAGCGTACAGAAAACATCTATGGGAATAAAGCGGAGAAGCAATTTTGCAGTGCAAGTTTTGTGTAACATGCAATAGAGTGTAGATAATTTATTTAGAATATATCGTAAATATTTATTTTATTACAACAGACATTTAATTGAGAGAATGCAAATAGGTGCTAATACGTATTTTTTATCTTGTTTACAATATATTCTTTGGAACGAGAAACATCACTTACACAAGACACAAATATTCACAGTACCAAAAAAATTAAAACACCTAAAGATCCCATAGGTAGAAGGACAAAAAGGTACAAGAATATGAGAAGGATAGTTGTGGTAAATGATTTTAAATAGGGTTTACTTTATGTTAAAATCTAACATGAATCTGATTTAGTTAATTAAGATTGTACTATTATTTTGAATATAGAATTATAGCAACGATTGAAGAAAATTATCCGATGACTTAATTTTTCTATTAAATATTTAAGCACAAACCAAATAATTCATTTAATACTACTATAAACCTAATAGTATTTTTATACTATTTACTTTTATTATTCCACTTATTTATTTAAATGTAAAATTAAGTCACCGCCGAGAGCATCAGAATTTAGAAGAAGAGCAGCTTTCAGAGAGTATACGACATCTTAATAAAGCTGCAAGCTAGACATTGCAACATTACAGTAATAGTCAAAGTTTTTTTACAGAGATTTAGCAGAATGGGAGAGAGTATAATATAGTAAAGGAATGACTTACCAAGCCGACTAGAAGAAAAAACACTAGAAAAGTTCTTCCTAAAACAGTGTGGCAGTACACGTCTCCATATCCAACGGTTGACATAGTTACAATTAAAAAATATACACAAGTCCAGTATGGCAACGGATTTTCATTACTGAACTCTAGAGGATCACCGGAGTTTTCCAGCTAACAAAAAGTGTGTTATTTCAGCCCGATGCAAAGGATAATATTGAAAAGAAAAATAAAATGGAAGTACAAATAATTCTAGTTAATTGAACCAATTTCAGTAAAGAACGATAAATTCTAAAATACACAGTGTCCCGCATAAGAACGGACACAAGGCAGGTGGTAAGGGGTCCAAAATATTGTAATTTAACTAAACTTACCTATATACAAAGTTGCACCCCCTGACGACTTATTAGCTCCCAAAATGGGGCACTTAATTTCGAAAATTAATATCTCTGCAACACTTTACCGCAGAAGATCTAAATTTGGTTCATGATTTAGGTTTATTACTGGTCTTCTCTGACTATGACTAAGTTAATTGAAGCACTACTAGGTGTTCATTGGGGATGACTCACCCCTAAAATTATACTGAACTTTTTTTTTTTTCATTGACAGAATTCAAAAATAATAATATTAATTCACAGCAGAATTTAATTTAAAAATTTTTTTACTCCTGTTAAATTTTAAAGAACTTTATGGTTTTCAAGAAAAACCGAATTTATAACTGAAACAAAATTATAACAGTGTTTATTAGAAAATAATCGAAAAGTCAGTAGTAGGCAATGAATTTATCTTTCAAACTTGTCAGTTAGCAATAAAATTATTTTATTTCAACAATTGTCTCTGATCGTTGTTGAAAAAATATTAATTATTATTTTTATTATGTATTTGTGTTTTTTACTTAATAGCATATTCGCTTATTTAAAAACTACCTAGGTACTTATCTTCTTTTAGTAGAATTAGGAGAGAAGTTTATTTGCCCAATTGTCAAATTTGAAAGATAAAACCTTCTTTATCAATGAACATTGTTAATATCTTGCGTCAGTTATAGACCGATCGAAATAACTCATTTAGAGGAAAAAAAAAGAAAATTGTTACCTGGTCTTTTATAAGTGGAAATGGTAAAGGGGCTTATAATAAACGAAAAAAATAAATAAATACGTGACCAGGGGCGGCGGAGGGTTAAAAAGTTGTGAAAAATTGTATCATTGGGATTTCTGGCGAAATTTGAGGTCAAACAAAAAAGTATCCAATACAAAAGTTACAGATCATGTAAAAATTTACAACTTTTGTAGTGGTCACTTTTTAAGATAACCTCAAAATTTCCGGTAAAAATTGGAAAAACAGTTGTAAGCCCTTTTACCATTTCCACTTATAAAAGTTCAGGTAACTATTTTTTTTCTCAAAGTGTAGTTTTGTTGGATTATTAATACGGTTTTATTGAAAACTATACATTTTTTTAAAATTTAACAAGGGTAAAAAAAAATTTTAAATTAAATTCTGATGTGAACTGATACTATTTTTCAATTCGGTCAATGAAAAAAAAAGTTCGGTACAATTTTAGAGATGAGTCATCCTAAATAAACATCTTGTAGAACATCTTGTAGTGCTTCAATTAACTTTAAATCATAGTCAAAGAAGACCAGTAATAAACCTAAATCATGTACCAAACTTGGTTCTTCTATCTACGGTAAAGTGTTGCAAAGATATTAACTTTTTTCCAAATTTAGGGCCCCACTTTGGGGGCAACTTTGTATACAGGTAAGTTTGGTTAAATTACAATATTTTGGACACCCCTACATGCATCTGTCCTGTGTCGGTTCTTATGTGGGAGACCCTGTATAGAAAATTTTTTATGTGAATATGGAAGTCCTAAAACGCATTAAGTATAAGATATGTTGGATGGCGTTGTTTCTGATTCGGTGGCATTTCTTACTTAAAAATGGTATTCTTATGAAAATTCTTCAGATTAATAGATATTCAGGAAAAGCACAACAAGTGAATGCGAAATTTACTTTAAACAAAAATCGTAGAAGTATCCACTTTTTTATTTTTAAATTTTTTCACTGACAAGGCTGCGTTGTGGATGTTAGTCAAGCCTGTGTTAACGTGTCAAATTACCAATAAATCAGAATATTGTAATTTATTACCAAAACAACATTACAAATCTCTCGGATACCATCATTGATCACCATTGTTTAAACGCAATATTTTATGAATGACGGTAAACCGCTTTATTAGAAATGTTTTTTTTAGAGAAACTAGCACCTCTTTTATGTAAGAAATACACTTCAATCAAAATATTAAGATAGGTAAATAATTATGTGTCGGCACGATCTTGATTTATAAAATTTAAAATTTATTGACAGTCATTTTTTTATCAAACTTCGTACATATGAACTTTTTTGTGTTTTTATATGTTGAATTATTTTTGAAGATTTTGAGATTGAAGATTTTAAGATTTGTTTTCATTTGCCTGGATATTTAGGAAATAAAAATCTTCAATACTTTTTATGAAAACAAGTAGAGGATTTCCAATTTTGTGGATTTAATTTCAATTAATCGGTTAAATGTACATTTTTCTATTTTATAATAATATATTTTTAATTTTGAAAGCAGACAACTGATAAAAATTTTACAAAAGCCCATACCATTTATTTTATTTCTTAGGTTGTCAAAATAAATGGAAGAACATAATAGCTAAACGTAATACATGATAATTTTTCAGCAAAAATTTAAATTGAAATTGAAATCATGATATTAGTTCCATTTACAGATTTCAACGAATTGTGAGAAACAGGCTGTAAACAGGGTGATGAAGCGAAGTATCTCTTTAGATGAAAAACTTATAACAGTGTACTGTCAGAAGTACGACTTCAAAATAATATTTATATAGCGTAATTAAAAAGATATAAAGAGTCTACTAACTATCAAGATAAGACGAGACTCAAGATGCAAAGAAGGAAAATTATAACTATAATGGTAAGAAGAAAGAGTACAATTCTTATTATAAAATAAAATAATTTCTGTGAATAATGCATATTCTTTAAATATATTTCTGTCAGTATCTTTCACATATGTATCATTCTTTATATTGTATTACTAGATGAACCAAGTAATTTTTTAAATTTTTTATCTATGTTTTTTAATTTATCTAATTGTAAGCTATTTATAGGACAAAGAGCAATTGCATTGAAAAAAATGTCTAAAACTTACCAGATGAATAATTCCAGCCGCTGTAAGCCATACTGATATGAATATGGACACTAACTGAGCAAGACGTATGGAACTGGAAGTCTTCAGTATGTTGAGGTATTGTAAAATATCTGGTACAGTCATTAAACGCAGGGCACGCAGGAATCGTAGACCTTTTGAAAATACAAGTAACTCATTAGAAATAATGGAATATAGGTACTAGATTAACCTTATTAGCCTATACCTAATTATCTTTAGCTAATAAAAAACTTCCCTATAGCAAGAAAACACACCTTTATATTCATATTCATATATAATTCATATTCACATTTGAAATTGGAAGGTTTTTACATTTTAGTCTAAACATTCTAATATAACTAAATTTGATTTGAGTTATAGAAATCCGGTACTAAAATTTTTAATAAAAAATATTGTTTAAGTTAATATTATATTCTAATTTAGCTTCTCCAAACGCATCTTTGTACCAAATTTAATTGATATATCTCTGAAAGTGGTCGACACATGAGTACCCAAATAATATTTTTTTTTTACTTTAAGAAACCGTTAATTTCGTTCTTATTAGATAAGCTTTTCCTTGTACTTTTTGTTCTTTATGAAACTATTCTGTTCTCCAGCAATTTTTTTTATGTAGTACTTTACTTAGGCATGTCTGCCCCTAACATTTTCACAGTTGTCGAAAACATTTACAAAACAAAAAATATATGACAAATGAATAATAATTAACATTTAACAACATTAAATAACATAACTAGATAGTTCTCTTTATTTCTATTAGCCAATTTCCTTTTCCTGTGCATTTAACACCTTTATTTCTTTTTTATTTCTTGCACAGTAATTTCACTACATGTGTGCCAAATTTTATTTTTTAAATAAATCCTTTCTAATACGAAGCCTTTCGAATTTTTTACTAATAGTGCTTAAAAAATCCATATAATTAATTAATGAGATAAATTTTCTTTCTTTTGTTAATATAAAACAAAAAGTAAAAAAACAGCTGATCTAACTTACATAATTTTTATATTGACAACTTTTTAATTCAAAATAGTCGAGATAAAAGAGTAGCTCAATGAAAAGTGAGACACAGTGTATATCGCTTTCATATAAGAAACCTACGCTTCAGGCACAGTAGTAGAGTTTCTGGACACTGTGTACCCAAATTCTGGCATACCAAATTTCATTTAAATCGAATAAAAGCTTTATTCTTATTTTCAAAGAACATTTTTGAAGAAACAACGTTGGATACAGACAAATTTAGAGTATCTTATTTTGACACCAAGAATTTGTATTAGTTTTATTTACACGAAATATTGGGATACCCTATTTCATTGTTGAGATTGCTCCACCAATAAATGATCAAAATGTGAAATAAAATCTCAACATATTTATCGCCATTTAACAAAATAAACAGTTATTCTTTACGTTTCCCTTTTATCGAATTACTTTTTTCCAGAATGTTTGTGTTGTTCCATTGAATAATATGATCGTTTTGCTGATTTCTTAAATTCTTTTTTTCTAATGCGATTGTGTAAAATTAAAAATTCTAGAAGTTTCTCCAACATAGTGTTCGCTAGGTATGAGGTAAATTCCGTTTTTTTGAATTTTAGAATCATGAATGTATTAGAAACGGATAATTTGATAGGCTGCAAATTTACAGATTGGTAAAATTATTGTATTTTTCAACAACACAAGCATTTTAGGCGGAAACAAAACTAATAAAGTCCGCATTTATTGTTTGCTATGCAATGATAGATTTGTTTAAAATTATCTTAAATTTTGATAATAATTGTTGGGTAAATGTTCTTAGCAACGAGAAAACTGATCACAGAATAAATATTATATATCTTATACCTGTATGCAAGGTAGATAAGAAAAAAATTGTTACAATCGAGCTTCAATCAATTTGATTAGACTTTTGAGAAAAAAAAACAAAGCAGGTTTCCAAATTGTTAACATTTTGAAAAGGTCCTGTGTAATGGTGAACAGTTATCTATTTCCTCGGTGTGAGATATTTGAGCTTAGATAAAACCAAATTTATAAAATCAACGTTTTAACTGATACTTCTGGCGCAAGAGGCTAAATATTTAAATATTTTCTATTTAATGTAGCAGAAATTTCCAGCTGAATAAAACAGTATTTAAATATTTATATGTTAAATATTTTCAAGGTATAGCGATTAAAACGTTTCGATATGTTGTCATTACAGAACGGCAATCCACTTTAAGTTAAAACAGTTTGACACATTGAATCAATGGTTTGAGATATTGTCCACATAATCGAAAGCCTTTATGATTTCTATAAGGATTTACAAAGAAAGTTAAAATAAGTTGACTGCGGGAAACCAATAAAGGCAATCTTTTTAAAACGTTGTTTATTTCTTTTGATAAATTACTAGCTAGCATTATAGATACTTATTTTTACATGTAATTTTATCCAGAGCGGTTGCAATATATTTTTCCAAGCCCAATACAACGAAGTTGTCAAACAGCTGTATAAAAATCCTAAGTTGTTTCAATTACCACTCAATACATATTTTATGAGAAACATGTCAGAAATTGAATGTATTTTATTGATTTTCAGAATATTTTCAGTAATATATTTTCAAGGTAGAGATATTTTAATTAAAATACAGGCTTTATTGATTAAGAATGAATGTTATGGTTGTATATAGGTTTCTGTAGAACTAATAACTAATAAAATATTGAAATGTCCTTACCGATCCACGTGCGATTCAAATAAATTGAGACGAAGGACGGGGGTATCGTGAAGTAGTCTACGAATGAATACATTTCTAACATGAACCATAACTTATCACTAGCTGCTATAAACTGAAAAAGAAAAATTAAAATTATTTCTGAACTTCTGAATTAAAAAGTGTCTTTTTAGAATAAAAATGCTTTTATGTTCTTGTGTATTCTACATTTTGCTACTATACAGCGGTATAACTGTTGTTTATTTAATACGTGGCCTAAATTTAACGGCTTAGAGAAGGTTGCAAAGTTCAAAATTAAACCAAAAAATTTACGGTGGTAGCTAAAACGTTTGCTTTTAAGTGCAATAATAATGTACTTCTACAAACATCACCTAACTTTTTTTTGGAAAAAGTTTTTTTTTTATTCTAATGATTCGGAAATATGTAAGCGGTATTTTCTGTAGTGTTTATTGTTCCTCGAACTGTGTTATCTTCGCAAATTGTCATCGGTTTTCAGTTTTCAGATGATTAGATGGTGAATTGATGAAATTTTCTATGTAGTATTTTCTTTGCATTGAACGTATGTAAATGTCACGTTATTAAATTATGGGAAAGTAATACTCAGCTCTAATGAAGCACCATCACACGATATGTTTTTTTTACAAGCTTTTATTTAACTTCGCTTGTATGTTTAGTTCAAATCTTGCAAATCAAATTTGAACCACTTCCTCTAAAGTTACGACTTTGAAATTTTGCATGCTTGTTCAGTTCTAATGACAATGCACTAAAATGAGTTTAATCTGCTCCCACTAAAGTAAATAGACTAGTAATACAATGTTTTTAAGGAGGTAAGTGCACTTTACCGCAGAAGTGAAAGATGCTATTTGCAACGGGAGGTAAGTTTCCTCCCTAGGGAAAAAAGTAGTTTATTTATAGCAATTGTACAGTTATTACATTTAATAACATTTATAAAACCTGGATAATTATTCCCCTCGCCTTTACTAATTGTCACATTTTTCTCAAAATGATTCGACCGCTCCATTTCAGTCACCGGAGGCTCAATATTACCTGACTGATCCATTAAAACTACTAGAACCTGAAGTTGAAATGTCATTGTAAAGAATCCTGTTGGCTATTTCATTTTTGTTACTTAAACTGTCAGCAACATAACTTTCTGCAATTGTGGTTGATTCCCATTCACCATATCTCTTGATTGCTAATGCATCAACTCCTATATTAGAGAGTAACGTTGCCAATGTTCTTTGGAATGAATGGCCTGTATATGTTTCAGGGTGTTCTAGTTTCAAAAACTGTGCAATCTCGATAGAAAGGGTATTCTTGCCGACTGGTTGGTTGTAACATCTACCTGCTTGATAGCTCATAAAAAACCTGAAATTTCAGTTTTAAGTCTAATTCAATCTAATTATGATATATTTCTTGAGAATTTCTAGGTGAGAAATAAAACCCAGACGACAAGTAAATGTAAACGTACGTGATATACTATTTTTAGAATCTGGAATTGTAACTGCAATAATGCCATTGAAATTTTTGAAATTGACGTTGTCCAAAGTAAGTTTCGGTTTCAGAGCGGCATGCTCCTGCAATGCCTAAGGCCGTCACTACCTTCGTTCATCTGAACGAAAAAATCGTTGATTTGTTCTCTTGTAAAAACGTTTGACTTTTTAGATGTATTATAGTCGTCATTCTTAACGTTTCAAAAATGCTCTCAGCTTGGGGTATTTTGATATCCAGGTTCTCCTCTATAAAAATAGTTGGAAGTTATGAACGGATATTATCACCATACATCAATGTTGTAGAAGTTGGAGGTTTTAAAAAACACGCTGAATATCATCAAAATGTGTAGATTAAAAGCAAAAGTTATTCGAGTTATTAACGAAATTCAAAAAAATGTTCACGAACTTTGAGGCCACCTAGCGACCAAACGAAGCGATTTTGGATATAGGTGAATTAGTCTAAGTCTGCCTTTTTTGAGTCCACGAATCTGCGGTCTTCTGTTATTCTGGGATACCCTGTATAAACAATTATTGTATCCCTGTTATGTATAACGAGTATAAGTACTGACAGTAAGTAGATTTACTTCTTGTTTCCATTCTCACTTACATATCCATGTTTTAATTTTGCCTTAAGTGTTTTTTAAAGCAAATATCAATAAATTTTATCGACAAATATCCCAGGACACGACATTTTCAATTTTCATAACATTTTCTTTATCAAAGTATGGGCTGGCCTACAGGAAATTATTTAATTGGACTATGTCTTTTATATGTATATTCGACAAGAAATGTGGTATTTGGATGATGAAATACATGAATTCAATGTAGTGTTCACATTTAAACGATATATTTGGGGAATGTTGGATTGAAATAAATGAACTACATTTTTGGCCTGTTTGGTATGATAAATTGCCTAATTCTTTTTTATTTATGGGGTCATATGGAAACGTTAACCGTTAAACGTTAACGAATTTTTGCTGTAGAGAAAATAATAATAATACCGGGAAATGTCCAGCGTTTTAGAATAAGGTAGTTGAAAATTTGAACACTTGTTATAATGGTAAAATTTGGCAATGAGTCACTTTTTTTCGTTGAATGCAAATTGTTTATGTTTTTGCCAATGGTTTTTCTGTGTGTCGCTCTTTACCACTTATCAGTACAACTAGTAATATTATTGACAAATGAAATGAAAAGGAATGAAATGATTCTTTTTTAAATATCTTTGAAATGGATAGATTTAGGCCATTTTTTACGTAAGATTTTTATGCTTATTTCGGGGTATTCTGTTTGATACTGAACAGACATTTAAACAGCGGGTACCCTTTATAAGTATGTATATGTATAATTACAGATAGGCCCATATTTTCTGCGATTTCCCTAAAATAGAAGAGAACCCTGCGGACTATGCGATTCGCTGGTTAAGTAAAGAGCGGTCATGATGGCATTTAAGAAATGCACCAGAAATATCCACCAGATCATTCACACATTCTTGTGTAGTTGATTTATTTACTATTACTCCATAACATTTCAAAACGGACCATAAAACTGAGCTAATAAAATTATTCACATGCGTAAAATTGCCCCAAATATTTGTACAAGAACAACGCATATGCGTAGTTATTGTAAGAAGTAGGCTTGAAAAGGTGCAATAAAAAATTATGTAATTGTTTATGCGGTTAAATAAAAATTTAGTGGTGGAAGTTAGGTTTATTGAATCTTATAGTAACTTGTATCATTACTTTGTTTCACTAGATTGGTAGTTTGCCTATGTATCTACAAACATATAAAGAAAAATTCAAGATCATCTCACTAAATTGCTTATTCTATTTTAAAGAACTATTTAATATTGTTTTCTTCGTTTCAACGAATAGACCCAATTTATTCACAGAGAAAAATTGAACTTAAAAAATGAATAAAAAGTAAAAAATTACTTATTATTTTCAGCAAAACGACAAATTTAAAAAAAATTGAAGCGTTTTGAAATTATCAGGGTTTCTTTAGGACACTTTGAGGTTGAAAAGTTACAGTCGGTATCCTTAGTTTATTCATTGTTTGTAAAGTTATGCCAAGTTAATCAAATATTCCTAATTATGCAATTTTTCTAACCAACATTTTAACTTAGAAAAAATTTTATATATTAAAACCCATAATTACGACTTGTAGAGAATACTTTGCAGTTTTCAAAACCCTGCTTGGATTTTCTGTACGACCATTATTTCTCGAGTAATTGATCACCAAAGTCAAAAATGATTTTTTTGCTTTGATCGATGATAACTCAGCGACAAATAATCGTACAAGGCTCTGAAATCGCTCAAATTGAAGATAATTAAATTATCTAAAAGAGCTTTATTATGAAATTACCAAAGAAAATTCATAGGCCTTTTTAAAAAAAGTAAAAATTTACAAATTTCTTATCCGTTGATTTTCTTATGCTTACTCAAAAACTGCTCTAAAAAATTATAAACTGCAGATCTGAAAACTAGACACTTGAAACTTCAATTTTCGTTTTTTTATTCTCTCTACGACCATTTTCCTCCAAGTTACAGCTCTTTGAAAATCATCCAAAATTTTGGGATTTTTTTTAACATCCTTTAATTTCTGTGCCTAGTCTATTTTGCCCAGACAATAAAAACAAACCAAGAACTACTATGGCAATTCAGATAGTCGCCGAAGTAAATAATTTTCCGTCAACCTCACCATAAAATGAAGTTTGAAGTTTTACGACGAGAAATATCACCTTTCAGATGTCATGTCATGTAGTGCACCTAAAAGTGTACCTAATTGTACTATAGCCTCAATGAAGTAAAAGCGGACATGAAGGATTTCCGTGCGTAAAATATGATAACAACTAAAAAGTGAGTCTAAATCTAAGATATAGATTAGTATTATCGAAGCTAAGCTAAATTATTAAAGTCGCCACCTTGTTGGTAAAAATCGGTTCGTTCATAAATTGCAAGACTTTAGCTTCAATAATAATTAATTTTGGTTAAATCCCGTAATTATGCAAATCTTCTAATGATAGGTATATCTATTCATTTTTTGATAAAATAAAAAAAAATAAATTGTCTGCCTTTGTAACAGTAGGTGTAATTCTAAAAATGAAAATATGTAGGTTTAAGACCAGAAATGTGTAGTTTACGAAATACCGAAGAGAAGTGTTTAACAATGGGATTATATGATTATAAATTATAATTTCGTAAACGAAGCTTTTGAATAATGAAATAGTATATACATTTTTGAGATGTATAATCAAATTTCGAAGTGATTAATCTGGTTTCATCTACACAGGAATTTTAAGCAGAACCACCTACGCAGTGCACTAATTTTCGGTAAAATAAGCTAACGATTTAACATTTCATCACTCTTGCGTTGCACATGAGAAAATCAAATACTATAAATCAAGATGAAAATATTTAAAAATAAATGTGTTAAAATCTTAAAATTTTCCCAAACCAAAGCGATTCAAACATGTATACAATTGCCATTTTCTGTACGATTTTTTCTCCGTATTTATGTTTCAATCACAGGAAAAATTCCTTCAATCAAAGTTTCTATTGAAATAACATCAAATTGACTACGTCGGTCATATTCAGCACTTGGTCTCTTTAATCTCAAGACATTC